GTGTGGCCAAGGTGGGCATGATCACCTCAATATTGCTCATGGGGAGGGATGCCTGTGGGGCCAGGCAGGGTTGGGGGAGATCCAGGGGGTCTCTGGCAGGTGGGGCGGTGGGCAGGAGGCTCGTCCTGTGGGGCGAGGCAAGGCAAGGTGAGGCAGGGCAGAGGTGCCATTGTCACAGGGCAAGGTGAGGCAGGGGCCGGGGCGGCTGCTGCCTGACACCATTGGCCCTTGCACACAGAGGCCAGTGAGCGCACCCATGCGCTGGGATGCTGGGATGCATCCAGTCATGTGGGACCTCGGCAAGTTAGTGGGCAGCTGGTTGAAGAGGGACGATTGCCATTTCCGGGGCATGGCGAGCGTGCCCACAGAGAGGGCTCTGAGTGCCGCCTCTGGCACGTGTGCCATAGGTTCGCCACCACTGGTCTAGGTTAATCTTCTCATAGGTTCTGGTGTGTGTCTGGGGTAATCCTGTTACTGGTTTCTATGTGTGTATAGGGCAATCCTGTCAGCTTTCTTTTTTGTTTATTCAAGGCCATCGTTTCTTTTGCTATGTGTTTCTTGACTGCTTGCCCAGAGCTGTTAACTGAGTTGGGCAGGGGAGGAAGGGAGAGTAGAGAGAGAGAGGGAAAAAAACCCTCTTCTCTGGTACTTTTATTTTTCAGCTTGACTTTTCTAAGAGAAGGGAAATGGATATTTCTTTTGGAGCAGCCTTCCGTATTTGTAATAGTTGGTTTCTGGGGCTAGGCTGTCTGCTTCTTTTCCTATTGTTCCTGCCTGTTTAATATTTCTCAAAGATGTTTCCTGGTATTCTGATGGAGGTAGATTAATTGTATTATGTCCCAACGGTCATATCCTGCTTCCCTGAGGCTGCATCTTATGACTGTTGGATTTTTTTGTGTGAGGGATTGTTGATTCTAGGGATCTTTCTTTCTAATCCCAGCTTTCTGGCTCCAATCTTTCTGACAAGATTATCACATCTGCATTTCTGCAGTCCTGGTTTCTGTTTGGGATAGAGAGACTTGGGGGGGGGGGTTCTGCTTTTAAAATCCTTTGGGGAGATATATTCTGCCTTTTTAATATTTTCCAAAATATGTCTTTATCTGGATTCTTCCCACAGGGGCTAGTTACTTTGATTCTTTTTCTTAGAAAGAAACAGTAAGTTGCAGATTTTTGTTGCAAAGTAAGTGGAGGAGCAACAGCAAATGCTTACAGTGAAGTGAGAAAAAAGGAGGCAGTTTTGGTCTGCATATTTGTCTTTTTAAAAACAAAACAAAAAAAAACAAGAATTGGATATGTTTAGCTTAATAGGTGGTAGTATCCCAATAACTGAAGAGCTGCCAACAAAGAAAAGTGGTCAACCTATTCTTAAAAGTGCTTAAAACAGAACAAGAAGCAGTGGCTGAAAAGTTATCAAGGAGAGAACCAACTTAGAACTAAGGAGCATTTCCTGACTATGAGAACAATTGATTAGTGGGATGATTTATTTTCAGAACTGTGGTGCTTCATTACTGGAGGTTTTGAGAAGAAATTGGGCAATCATTTGTCTGAAATGGATAATTTCCTATTTCAGCAGAGGGTTAGACTTGAGGACCTCTAAGGTCCCTTCCAACTCTGTTATTCTGTTTTATATGTGTGTGTATCAAACTTCAGTGATTTTCCTTTGCATTTTAGTCTGGATTTATCCTTAATAATGCATTTGAAGGCATTCTAGTCAAAGGAACAATCCTATGAAGTTTTATTTAACATTTGATAAAGTATGTATCTTTGGGACTCCCTGCTACTGCAAAAGTGGTGATTAGTTGCTGCTTAATGTGTGTGCTCAATTTGTTTTCCTTTTCCTTGGAGCCAAGTAGGGGAAGGGAAACCTTTATAGAGAATCAGTTTTGTCCAGTAGTAACAGCCACAGGCTACAAAGCTAGAGAATTGTAAGTTCAAATACTTCTTTTGCCATGCGGGCCAGCTAAATGATCTTGGGCTGGTCATTTTTTTTTCCTCAGCCCTCCGAGGTAGGTTTTGGCAAGCCACTTCATCAGGGGAGAAACCTCAGTTTACTTTTTCAGGAAATTGTTATGGCAATCTTCCTCCTGTTTTATGCTTTCGGGGTTGTTTTAGTTCTCTGAAAGGAAAAGTTTTGTATAAAGTATTTTTACTCTGCCAGGCTTGGTGGAATAGGGGAGGAAGAGGCAATTATTTATCTTCTCAGCTACCCTGTTGCTTCTTTGATGTGCTGCCCCAAGAGTGATTTGTATATCATCTTCCTGATAGAAAAGCATTGCGGAATTGTTGGCTAAGTGCTGATTGGTGAGCCTATGCGATTTACCTTTTAAAATTCTAAATGTGTCATTTACAACAAGTTTACTGTGCTACTTTTTTGTCCCTCAACATGGCATCTGATAAGGGTGAAAAGGGGGAGTAAGTAAAGTTTGACAAGCTTTGTGAACCTCCATGGACAGGTATAGTCTACCTGCCACAGGAAAAATGTTTTTTCTTTCCTCAATCTTTGACTGTGGAAGCAATACAGTCAATAATAAATACATGTAGTCCTCATGTGCGACCACAATTGAGCCAAATTTATGTTGCTAATTGAGAAATTTGTTAAGTGAATCACTTAGTAAGACGGTTGTTAAATGAATCTGGTTTCCCCTGACTTTTCTTATCAGAAGGTCATAGAGGGGGATCATATGACACTTCAACTGTCATAAATTGAGTCAGTTGTCAACCATCTGAATGTACATCATGTGAAACCTCTTGTATTGTGTATTTAATTTTGCCTGGTGGGTTTATTCTGATTGGGAAACTTTCAAGTGCCTTGTGGACTCATTGGCCATTGCTCTGTGGACTGGCATTGGCCTGCTTGCGGCTTGGCTTAATTGGGGCATTGCTGGTTGTGGGTGAAGGGAATTGCTGGGGAATATTAATAACCCCACTAAACCACAGTTGTGTCTCTGTGTGTGTGTGAGCGGAACAGTACAATAGTCCTATCACAGTATGGGAGTCTGCTTTGCAGTTATGCTGATACGCCATTCTCTCCTGATTTGTCTTCTTAAGGGGAGAGAAAAATCAGCCTAGCAGCTTTATCTTACATTGCATGATTATATACTTAACCCTAACAAGACTTAGGGGTTAACTGTGGCTAGATAAGATTAACTAAGTTTGGATTTTTTCCCCATGCCTAGTATTGTAAATTCACCTGTCTTTTTTTAAAATCTGTTTGGACTTTGGAAATGAACCATTTACAGTATTTTGCCATCAAGGTAAAATAAATATGTGGAATTATGGCAAAAAGAAGGTGAACACTTCAGATTCTGGTGAGCTGTGGCAATCACTCACTGTACCTATGACTTCTCTGGATCACATGGCAACAGCCTGATATCTGGGTATCCTACCAGATCCAAAGGCTGGAACTGCCCAAGTCAGTTATAGAATCCATTACTTTTTGTAAGTCTTTTTTTTTTTTAACAGGTGACATGTCTCCTATCTGACCATGAGTCATTCAAGCAAGGGAAGCTGCACATCTCACCTAGTCTATGCAAGTGAAACTCCCAGGAGACAAGATCTGCATATCCCATGTGTGGAAAGGAGAACCTGTTTTCCTGCTGGTGGACACAACTTAGAGCTACAGCAACAGAACAGAAAATGTTCAATTACATCAATATGGCATCTGGGTGAGCACTAAATACCAGTAGATATATGGTGAGTGTTAAATAGAACCTTGGCTCCCCAGAATGAATGGCTAATGGTTTCTTTTGATTTAGTAGACTTTAATAGGAACCTATTAGAAGAAACTACAGCCACTTTGGGAAGAGATCTGCACACAACTGAAAACTACAGAACTGCACTTGGTTACACCTTTCATGCTGATCATTATAGATGCTGAGCAGACCGATCAAAGTTTCAGCTTCAACAGGATTGGCATTGCTAAATTGTCATATAACTGGTTGATTTTGTCCTAGGACTGATGCCATGTTAGCTTATTGGAATTGTGGGATGGTGGACATTTGGATGTTGATTTGTATGTATATAACTACTTGTCTGCTTCCATTTATTTATGTGTATTTATTGTAGATGTTCCATCTATTTAAAATATGTTCATTGGCAAACTACATCTTAGAAAAAAATCCATCAAGTGAACCTCCAGGGTGTAAGATTGGGTGTAACTTGTGTAAGATTGGGTGTAACAGATTGTGAGGATAGTAACTTGTGAGGATAATTGACCTTGTATTTACATTTTCTTTATACAAAAGGGTTTTCTTGGTCCATAAAACAGAGGGGCTGCATAGCATGGAACATGATAAATAGGCAACATCACCTATTGGATTTGATAGGCAACATCACCTATTGAATCTGAAAGATAATTTTCTTATTAATATGCCCTCTAACCTTGTTATGCGTTTAAAGCTAGTGGATTTCTGAATGCGTACACAACCTATGGAGGGCATCCCCTTTTGTTGAGGGTTTCTTAACTCTTCATGGCCCTATTTTTCTTGATGCATCTTACAGCCTATGCAAAGGGTGGAAACTAATCAAGGAGAGAAGCAACCTAGAACTAAGGAGAAACTTCCTGACAGTGAGAACAATTAATCAGTGGAACAGCTTGCCTCCAGAAGCAGTAAATGCTCCAACACTGGAAGTTTTTAAGAAGAGACTAGACAGCCATTTGTCCGAAATGGTGTAGGGTTTCCTGCCCAAGCAGGGGGTTGGACTAGATGACCTCCAAGGTCCCTTCCAACTTTACTACTATTACTATTACTATTTATATCAAAGGGGAAGTTGTCTTTGTCCAGGGATGGATGAAACTTTGGACATACAAAGATTGGTCTGACCAGGACACCCATTGTATTAAAGACATGTAAAGCTTATGTTTCACTGTCTGCCAACAAGGTACCTAGACTCTTAAGAACCAAATACTGTTTGTTGGAGAATCTTGGAGAAGTAAATTTTTCCCAGATTCATAGGGGGGGAATGATGGAACACCCATTAAGAAGCAATATACCCTCATCTTAGGAAGGAATAAAAATTTATTGCAAATGTGCAATGTGTCTGTTAGAGATAAAGGAAATGTAACAACGCGTATTTAGAAATAGATAGGAAATTACAAGATTTGGTAACAAGAAGAGCAGCAGAAACCCAAGTAGGAACGATGGACAGGTAAAGCTTAAGCAAGATATAACTCTATAGGGGCAAAATGACAGGTAAGCTCAGGCGAGGTGCAACTCCATAGACAAATGGAAAGGTAGACTAAAAGCAAGGTAGAATGACACAAAAGGGTAATAGCTTTATGAAATGTTACTTCCCTATTTCTGGAAATCAGCAGCAAAAAAGATTGTGCTATGCTGTTGTTCAGGATCTCAGCTCCCAAATTGGACTGGGACCCTTTTGCTGAAGTGCTTCAATAAAAGTTTTGCAAAAGTCTGTCTCTTGTGTCTGGCTCTGATTGGCTTCTGTGCCAGGCTAAGCCAATTTTTTTTACAACATGAGCCAGTCTCTCTAGTAACCTGATTGCAGAAATAAACAAGCTACCGTGCTTTGTAAGTGTAAAACTGTTGCCTTCCTATGCCAAAAAATTACCCATATCTTGTCTGCAGGCCAGGATTGTTTGATCCCATTCCTTACTTTTTAAAGTCTTTAAAAAAATCAGAGAGAACATATATTATTGTTTATGGAATTCTTTTACATAATGGGTAAATGTTTTATAAGCTTTATTTCTCATACTTTTTTCACACATAAAGTTTCTCATAAAGATTCCTATGAAGAGAATAAACGGAACAGAAATCAGAAATTAACAATACTATTCTATTGTATTTAATCAAACATATTCTATTGTATTTAATCAAAAGTAAGATTCCCTGAATCCAATGGCAATTACTTCAAGGACTGAGCAGAAAATCAGTCAGACTTCTTCCTCGGATTATTTGATGAAGTAATTTGTACTATTTTTAATGGATTTTTTTTGTCCCAAGTCAGGAAGAAGGGGAACATTTTCTCAAAAAATGGATAGTTGAAAGTAAAGATAATCTCCATAGAGTCCACATCATAAAAAGATAACTTACTTAAGTTGAATTCTAAGCAAACAAGGATCCGTTGAACTGTCTTCCACAGTGGAAGAATGGTTTTAGGTGTGGTGCTGACCTCATATTCTCCGTTCATCAGCTGCAAAACCCAAAACCCTTCAGTAGCCATTATATTTAAATATCCTTTTCTTTCTATGGATTCACGCACAGCACCAATGGCCCATTGTTTGGCCCTTCCCACTTCAACCACCCACTCTGAAGTCCCAGAATTAATGCCTTTTGTTCCCAGAACACAAGGAAAAAAATTAAAGCGTTCAAGACTGTCAGGAAAGTCCTGGGCTCGTTCACCCATGTATACACTTTTCAGGTCCTCTGAAAGGATGAGGGTGGGATAAGCTGTCTTGGGATCCAGCATCACCTCCACTAAAGAGAAGTGAAGAGAAAGAGAAAAGGTTGAAGTGATAGTGACTCAATTGATGACTTACAGATTTGGTGAAAAGGCAGTATTAATTCAGGTTGTTGAGAACTGTTGAAGGGTTGAATACGTTCTAAGCAATGTATATTTTTTACTATCACTTGGACAGGGGAGCCAACTGGAAGTGCCAGGGATGTACACAAAGTTGGAAAAAAGCAATTGTGGGCTGTTCCAGAATGCTATCAATAAAACTGTATAGACACAGCCACTAAAGTTGTATGATATAACAAATTCTGTAGGTTTGGGGATATTTTCTAAAATATTGAATTACAGAAAAGGATTCCTTTTTTAAAAAAAAGATGACAGGGTTATCAAGAACCTGAAGACATAAAGACATGGCATGAAAAAAAAATCTTTAAAACAAATACTTTTGTCCATGGATTAGCAGTCTTTTTAAATAGAACCATTAAATAGTTCTTTGTGGTGATGTACTCACCAAACCAAAGCAAGATAAAAAAAAATACTGGAAATCTCATGAAATGTTATGCAAAAATATTGGACGGTTGTGATATTTGGGCATTTGACAGATTTCACTTATCTGTTGTTTAAAAAATTAATTTGACACTAGGGGGAATCATCCAGGGGTATATTATAGGAGCTATGATTTTCATTAGTGCATCAAGGCTCATCTGTGTGCTAAGAAACTGCCAAAGTCTGGAGCTCTTTCTGACAGGAATCCATTCCTTGTTTCCACTTTCTCCCTTGCCACTTCTTTTAGAAAAGAGTTGGAACAAAATGCTTTTTGTTTTGACACCTTGAGATCTGATTCTGCAGCAAGTCATCCAAAGGCTGGTAATCAGTCTTTTTTCTTCTTGATTCAAGTCTTGTGTTTGGAAAGCACTTAATGCATATGTGGACAACTAACCTTTATTTTGAGATCCAGAAAATGTCTCGTCTGATTCTGGAGACTGAAGAAAATCTGTTGAAAATAAATCAGTTCTTATTAAAATAAAAAAAAATGAACAAATGAATGAGCTAATTGGCTGTTCCCTTTTTTCCTTTGGTCATAATCACTTGGATGGGAAAAATACCCTTCACAGAAGCCACAACTTTAAATTGATTTAATTAAGATCAGGTTGTTTCACAGCTACAACTAATATGGCTGACCTATTTCTTCCCTACTGGTTGTCCTTCGGATATATTGGATCATAGTTTGCACTATTCCCAGTCAACACAATAGAAGGATAGCAACTTGGGCTGCATTGCTGAGCAATTTTCTACACAGCAGAACTAATGCTATCACTTCATAGGAAGTAGGAACCGGCAAGGTTCACCAGCCTGTCCATTTTTACAAAGAAAACTGCTACTTGGACACTTCTGTTGTTTGCTAAACATCAGGCAGCTGTTTTCAGTAGAAATGGGGCCATTAAGAGCATGGATGGAAAAACTATAAACAAGATTCTAATGCATATCCAATTTACTGGGATGTAAAACTTAAGAATTTTTTTTTAAATCATGATAATTTGCTTAGAAAAAAAATGGGGAACATAATTTTCCCAAAATGTTTTTCCTCAATTATTTGCATTTCTCCCAAATGTGCTCATTTTCCCTAATCTTTCATTTCTGCAATTTCTTCTTTTTCCCAAGAATTTTTTCTCTCCCAGGCCTTCATTGATGTCTGGGTTGTCTGAAAATATAGAGCTCTTTATTCCTATGTAGAAATTGTGAGTCCTAATTTTACATCTTTCTCCCTATTCATTTACCTACTTTCCTATACTTTCAACCTCCTAAACAAGGACTCTAAAATGGATTGTCATTGGAAAGCCAGTGACCTTGATAGCTTTAGGGTAGGGGACAAATCTGACAAAGATTAATGGAGCCCACAAATCACTCATTTTGAAATATCATTAGAAAGCCAAAGAGGAACAGAAGTCAACAAAGGAATTAGAATCACCCTTGAGTTACTAGTACACAGCTGGGCTTTTTCTACCTACATTCCGGCATCTCGTTTTGGATTCTTGCAGCCAGATCCTTTTTATTTATTCTGTCCAGAATGCTGACGGTCATCTTCAGGGCCTTGGCATCATCATACGTCTCAATCATGTATCGGGCTATTTCAATGTGGGCAGCTTTCTCAGTCTTGGAGCGACGGATGGGCTTGTAGCCTTTCTCCACTGGGTAGTCCTCAAGGTGCATCTTAAATTTCTCGAATTCCTCTTCACTCAGCTCTTCAAAATAGTCAACTAGTTTGCAGCGGGGAGTGTGTGACATTGTGGGTCTCAGTCAGATGTACCTGGAAGAAAGAAAGTGTAAAAGCATGCAGTAGAAAAACTCTATATCAGTGGTGGCAAACCTATGGCACTAGTGCCAGAGGCAGCACTCGGAGCCCTTTCTGTGGACACATGTGCCGTTGCCCCAGCCTTGCCTTCCCCCATGACCCCCTCACCAGCAGCCCCCCTGGAGGAGAGTCACCCCCAAGCATGGCCCACGCAGAACAGCACAGCCAAGGACATAGCAGCCAGGCAGTGTAGACAGTGCACAGCTGATGCTGCAGGGCGTGGGAAGAGGGCATGGCCACCATGGCACTGCTGGGCTGCCTGAGCGATCTGCAGTGGGCCCTGGAGGTGGTGAGTGGCCCTGTGGGCAGGTGGGGTGAGGGTGGAGTGGGGGTGGAGTGGGAGCAGGGCCAGTTTTGGGGCACCCCGTCTCTTAAAGGTTTGCCATCACTGCTCTATATAAATCAGATTAAAGGGATAGACGTTTGTGTGGTCAAAGTTGTTCATTCATTTATTAAGATGACTCTAAGTGCTCAGAAAACCACAAGTGTCATTTTCAAATGATAAAGAATATACAGCTCCAATGGATGCTGCAAAAGGAAACTGACAAGATGCCCTCCTTAGCCAGGGTAGAAGATGGGCATGAAGATGTTGCTTCCCAGGAAGAACGGGTGGGCAAGAAGAAAACCATCTCTGACCAAAAGAAAAAGCAACAGCAGAAAATCTCTTTCTCTTTCTTAGCTAGAAAGGCCATTTTGTCTTGTAATTCAGTGCTTCTCAATATATATTCTTTTTTATTGCCTTCATAATTTATTTCCATGGGGAAGGATGATAACTGATTGTATAAAGGTCTAAGATCTCTTTTGAGAGCCAGTTTGGTGTAGTAAGAGTTGAGGTTAGAAACTGAAAAGCTGTGAATTCTAGCCTCACCATGACCACAAAGCCATCTGGGTGACCTTAGGCCAGTCACTTTCATTCAGCCCTAGGAAGGAAGCAGTGGCAAACCCCTTCTGAAAAACCTTGCCCAAAAAATCCTATATGAACTTTTCCAGGTAGTTTCTAAAAACTGGACACGATTTAACAGAAGGGGATGGGAATCTTTAAGCTGAAGAATAACACAATATTTGTTATTCACACATCTGTTAACACAATGGAAAAGATGAAACATGAGCTTTTGTTTCTTTTTTCTGTACTCCATAGGAAAATAGCTTTTCCTGTGAGAGGATGCCAAACCTTCATTGTTTTAGGCATTTTAGAATGTAGGACAGATTAACGTAACTTCTTTTTGAACCATTTTTCATACTGAGGTCCAACCTGAAGGAGCCATAAAGTTATTGGAACTTAGTCAGTTGAAAACGTCTGGACTAGTTGGAGAAAACATCAGAAAATCCTTCGGAAGAGAGTGAGATATTATCAATATAGCTACACTGTGGAAAAGAGGGGCACTAGAACCCCAGAGAAACCATGTCCATCAGCCTTCATCGTCTCTAAGAGGGTAGCAGAGGAAAAGTTAAAAGAAACGGAAATCCTACGCTGCTTTTTCTCTTAGCCATTCCTCCTCCCTCTTTTTCCGCCTGCTGCACACTAGCTAACTGTGGCCATGACGTCATCCTAGAAGTGTCTTTGAAACCCGAAATTCTGCGCCTGAAACTTTCGCTTTCTTCCCCCCCCCCCCCCAGCCTTTCGTGCGGTGTCTTCTCTGCTCAGGATGGAAGGCGGAGGATGGGGGAGGGCAGGTAGGCATTGCCTGTTGTGACCCATTGAATAAGGGGGCAACGCTTTCTTGTAAGTCACGGCGTCGCGATTGGAGGATGGCAGCAGAACATCGCTCTTGCCTAACGGATCTGCTGCAGTCAAGATACTTGTAAGGCCGGGGAAACCTCTGCGGGTTCAAGAAGGGAGAGGAAGGCAGCTTTCTCGCCTCCGTCCATTCCCTCGCTTACCCCTGTCCACCGTCTGCCGCCGGCCTGGAGAATTCAGAGCAAAGGAGGCGAGACCGAAGAGGAACTCGTCGTTCAGTCGCCGTTGCTTCTGGCTGCCCAGCGCGGAGAGGGAAAGTGAAAGTAGAAAGCGAGCTGTCGCTGTGGGTGTCCATCTGTCCGTCCGTCCATCTTCTGCAACCGGACGGTTGGAAAGGCTGCGGAAAAGGCTACTTTAGGCCCAAGTACTCTTCAATATCTTCATCAATGATTTAGACGAGGGGGTAGAAGGGAAATTCATCAAATTTGCAGACGACGCCAAGCTGCGGGAATTTTCAGTTGGGCAGAAGATAGGCTCAAGATACAGCAAGAGTTTGAAAAACTTATTGGAAGTCAGCCTTTCCAACTCCCTGTGTAAAATAAATCTTTAAATCGAGCACGATTTCGTCGACACGCCATTTTCTTGGGAAAGAGATCCTAGCTTGTGATATAGCATCCAAGGTCGGAGAGTTGCTCTATAGCTGGCTTTCAAGTTAAGCGAGTTCCGGAGAATGCTACCAAACTGGTACTCGATGTAATTGAGGTACTGGGGCCAGTTAAGAAAAAAACAGACCAGAGGTATAAAAAAAGTTTATCCTTTAAAAGTTCCAGAAATGTAGTTCCGAATAAGTTAATCAATCTTTGAATCTTCTTGCTTTGTTGACAGGACCTGGTCTTGTTCGGCCTCCCCATCACGTTGGTCAATCCAGGCTCCCATATCTTGTGCTCTGCTACCCTCTTGTGGTCTGTTTTTCACTCCATATCTTTTTTTTCATCATACTGGCATTTTTTTAAAAATGTCTTTGTTCCTCCCACCGCCCTCTCCTCACTCCTTTGAAAGACTTAATGTTCTCAATTGACATTTTTAAAAACCATTTTAATCAAACATGCTGTATTTCCAGTGTTCCCATAACATATGAAACCAAGTCACTTCATTGGCATCCAATTAGTCAGGTTATTGGAAAATTGAAGTCATGTATACAGCAGTGTCATGATGCAAATTCAGGATTACATATCTAGTTCATGATGTATAATCCAGATACCCAATTTGCATTTACCTTGTATTCTGACATCATGAAACACTTTTTGTCACCTATCACTGTACATAATGGCCAATATCTAGTAGCCATACTTGCAGAAATCTTAATTTTGTGTCTTCAAATGTGTGAACTGTGCCCATTTGGTAATTATGCATTTAATAAATTATGCAAAAATCCAGTAACTCAAATGAGTTGTGTTGTGTATTGTGCATATTGGAATATTACTATGGGTAATTTACAGCTTAGTTTGCAACCTTCGCACTTCCAATTAATCTCTATATCCTTATCAGATCATACACATATCCCTAAAATTCAGTTAGCAGTAATATAGCTTGATGTTTATTAACTGTCAACAAACATCAAGAAACAGTAACTGGCAAAAGGGGGCAAAGCAGGCAAAAATATGCAGAAATATGAATGAAAGCGAAAATGTTACATTATCTATAGTTTATACATCATCAAAACAGACAAAACTATATAGAGCCACTAGAAATAATAAATGTCTCCAACTTATGACCGTTCATTTAATGCTCATTCAAAGTTATGTCATGATGAAAAAAAGCAATTTATGACTGATTTTCATACAACTGTCACAGCATCTCTGTAGTCCAGCGGTTCTCAACCTATGGGTCGTGACCCCATTTGGGGTCGAACGACCATTTCATGGGTGTCGCCAAACAACGCAGTCCGCCATTTTTTCCCCTTTTCCTTAGCTGTGCTACTCCCTTTTATTCTATTAGCTTTTGAAAGCCAATAGAATAGACTCTCTTGAATAGAGTCTAATTCTATTGGCTTTCAAAAGCCAATAGGAATTGTCCAGGTTGCCTCTGCCCTGCTGAGCCCGCCAAAAGTCCCATCCTGCAAATGGTGCTGTAAGCTGTCTGCAGCGAAGGCAAGCTGTCTGGGAGTTTCCACCCCTCCCTGCTGAGCAACTACTAAAAATGTAAGTAAAAGAGGGCCAGGGGTGGGAGGTGGGAGGTGGGAGGCCGGCAGGCGCAGGGAGGGTTGCTGGCGCATGTGGGGCCCGGCGGGTGCCTTACCTCCCTTGGGCTGGACCAGCTGGTGGCCCAGCTGGTAGTCGCCCTGCGCTGTCGCTGCCCCTTGCTAGCTACGCCTCGGCTGGCACAGGGGGCGGCACCACGCATGCGCGGCGCTCCCGGGCAGGGAAAGTCCTTGACTTACGACCAATTGGGTAGTCCTCGACTTATGACAGGTTGGGTAGTCCTCGACTTACGACCGGTTGGGGGTCGCAGCATTAAAAAGGTTGAGAACCACTGCTGTAGTCAATTAAAATTTAGGTACTTGAAAACTGGCATATTTTTATGACTCTTGTAGCGTCTCAGGGTCACATGACTGCCATTTGTAACTTTCCCAAGTTTCTGACAAGCAAAATCAAGAATGAAATTGGATTCACATCTCTGTAGTCACATAATTAAACTGAGGTAAAAGGTAATAAAATCAGGTGTAACCCACTTAGTGACTACACTGCTTAAAAATGGAAGTTCAAATCCCAAATGTGGCTATAAATGGAGGATTACCTTGATGTACAATAGAAAATCTGCATGGACTGCCCCAACAGCAGTGGTCTTTGAGTGATCCAGTTTTAAGTACTTAACAGCAGAACAGAGAAGGAAAGGCTCCTAGTAATTTATCCTCTGTTTTACATCATAAAAGGAACAATATGATGGACAGGGATAATGCATCCAACAGCTCAGGCAAAATGTTTTTTCACAGAAAAATATCAAAGCCTACAACAGAACTGTGTGAATATTACAGATAGATATAATCCACATCAGTTTTTAATCTGAACTTTCCTTAGGGTGATCAATTGATCTAAAAAGCTGTTTTTGTCAGAAAGACAGTCATAGGAATTTGTTCTCTGCTGCTATTTGACCTTAGAGATTTGTTTGGTATCACAATATTTTAATGGGTATAGTAAAAAGCCTCAGTTCAGCTCTACAAAAACTTAAGTTCAAACTAATGCAATACTACAATACAAAACACTATAAATGTTACCTGTATTTTTGTTTGTGCCACAAAGATCTAGCAATCTTTACAACGGTGAATTATTGTGATTTTGTTGTATATTAATCTTGGTTTAAAGAAATCAGTCCTACTGAGTTAAGTAAGCAAGCAATTATTCTATATTATTACTTTTTTATTAAGAGGTAGATTGCTTTACAATTCTTCTTTTTGCTTTGTGAACTATCTAGTATCTTATGATTGCGACATATGCATCATTCAAACAAGCCATGTAAAAGAAATACAGGATGGAATTCTAGCATATATATATATATATATATATATATATATATATATATATATATATATATATATATATATATTTATATATATATGGTACAAATAAAATACGAACACCAGGAGAGTATAAATATAAAAATATACTTTACTAAAAGCTGCCAAGCTTTCGTTTGGAAACTCCAAACATCATCAGGGCTAAGGAGCCAGTAAACAATGATGACTTAAATGGGTTTTGCCGGCATCTGCACCCGGCTCATGGACCGCGTCACCGGTCCCGGCCGGTTAATTAGTGTTCCAGATGTTTCTTTATTACTCTCCTTACGCTTCCTTCTATGGTTCTTCCGGATCATTCCTTCCACTATCTCATTACTGGTATTCATCTCCTCCACCACCCCTTTATCCTTATTTCCTTCCATAGCACTGACCCTCCTCCCCTTTTTGTTTTCATTCTCCACCCTGGGGGCATCTGTTTCTCCTCTATCAGTGTTACAAGCTTCCCTGGGCTCACCGACGCTCCCCCACACACACGCTTTTCCCAATCCCTGCTCCACACCCTTTCTTCTCACTCTTCCATAGTCATGAGTAACTTTCATACGGGTGTTACATATTTGGGGGTCTATGCCCTCCTCCTCTGTCCTGGCAATCTTCGTGTCGACAGTTCTCCACCGTTCCATTTGTTTGCTGCGTGATCGGGTGCTTACCCCGTCTCTCAATTCATCCCTCCTCCCTATCGCACGCTCTTCCCCATTGCTGATAGGAACGGTATTCAGGCGGACACCAGGTCTCCAGATCTCTGCATTCTGATTCCCCGTGTTCTCACTCCCCTCTTCTGTGCTCGTCTTTGGGGGGACTTCAAAGTGTTCGTCCCGGGAGGGGGCTGTATTGTTGGTGGGGGTATTCCTTGTCTGCAGGGAATCCAGGCAGAATTCCGTGTCTCTCCCTTTCACTGTATGCCTAGGCAATCGAGCCATGCTTTCGTTCTTCTTCTCCCCTCTACCCACAGCGTCAGGCTGCAGGCTCCTCATGCTGGATCTTCCACACTCTCCACAGTTGTTGTTAAGTTCTGGGGGTGGGGGTCTATCATGATGATATTGGGGGAGGGGGAGGTCTTCCATCGGTGGATGATTACGTGTGTTTGACAGTGGTAGCCTCCTCAGACGTTCATTAGAGCGGTATTGGTGTTGATCGGGCGAAACGGGGGTGTCCCTGGAGTGTAGAGGGTTGGCCAAAGTTCCATCTATCTGTTCAGGATGGAGGCCAGGTATCCCGTCACGTTTACAGCTGTGCAAGCATTGTTCAGGCCGCTTATAATAATTGGCATGGTGTTTAAAATCCCATTTCCTCAATGCTTGTTGAGCTGGATGTAAGTCAATGTGACGATTAACCGCATCTTTGTTGGAATACCACGCCTCTTTCAATAGCCGGCCTCCCTTAGTGGCATCCTCAGACATAATGCAAACATTCACAAAGTCAAACTGGTGGCCATGTTGTGCCATATGCATCCACAATTGAGAATGCTGCTCGCCCCTTCTTATAGCTAACTGATGTTCATGCAAGCGAGATCTTAAACGCTTAGCTGTTTCACCCACATAGTTGCCATCGCAGTTCTTGCAATTGATTTTATAGATTACTGCTGATCTATCCATGGCAGGGAGTGGGTCCTTGGGGCGAACGACTTTGGACCGTAATGTCTGATTGGGTCTGTGGGCCACTTCTATTCCATGGGGGGCCAGCAGTCTGGCTGTTGCCTCCGAGACGTTATTAATATATGGCAAAGAAACACGCATTCTTTGTAATGATGGTTCCTCTCTCTTTTGGTTGTTCCGGGACTGGGGTGTAAGACCGTACTGTCTGATAAACCTCAAAGGATACCCATTACGTTGGCAAATCCGGAAAAGGTATTGCCTTTCTTTCTTCTTAAACTCCTCAGTGCTGCAGTGGAAGTCCACGCGCTTAAACAATGCTTTAATGCAGTTAGCTTTATGAGATACAGGGTGGTTGCTCCTATAGTGGAGTATTCTGTCCGTGTGGGTGGGTTTACGAAACACCCCTGTAAGTAACGTCCCATCCAACTGATGGTATATTGACATGTCCAGGAAGGCTAGGTGACCTTGTTTTTCTTCCTCCACTGTAAACTTTGAAGTCCCCCCAAAGACGAGCACAGAAGAGGGGAGTGAGAACGCAGGGAATCAGAATGCAGAGATCTGGAGACCTGGTGTCCGCCTGAATACCGTTCCTATCAGCAATGGGGAAGAGCGTGCGATAGGGAGGAGGGATGAATTGAGAGACGGGGTAAGCACCCGATCACGCAGCAAACAAATGGAACGGTGGAGAACTGTCGACACGAAGATTGCCAGGACAGAGGAGGAGG